ACTTGCGGTTTTTAACAAGAAGTCGAAAATATCACTTTTTACCAAAAATTACAAAAATATTCACCAAAATTAGAGAATTGAAGATATCAACATGAAATGAACAAACCTAAGAGAAGTCTACCCAAGGTACATATACACCAAGTATCAAAGCATTCAGGCTTGTAGTTTTCAAGAAGAAGTCGAAAAAGTAAAACATTGACACGGACGAAGACGACGACGGACAATCACTCATATGATAAGCTCCGCTCGACAAAGTCGACAGCGGAGCTAAAAAAATATCATGCCATTTTCCCATTGAAATTAAAGCCAAAAGATTGCACTACAACATGTTGTGTTCATCATGAAGTCGCTGAACTGTCATTAACATATTTAAATGAGCTATGGTAACCCATCGGCACTATCCAGCATTTTGATTGGTTAATTAGTGACTTGACCTATCAGGTCAAAGAACACTGTTTCAGGTCACTCATATGCATGGCAAACATGGCGAATCGCATTGAGCGTTTACATGTGACCAAAATCATTCACTTATGGGGTAACAAAATTGAATTCTACATGCACTTCATAACAATTCAACGACTTTATTATTTTGTACATCATTAATTATCATCATTACTGAGTAATTTCAACAACTGTGAAATGCAGATGACAAGATTGCTACCGTACCATGATCTACTAAGCAATGCATTTGTGTTTGTTTTTATTTGAAACTTCTTTTAGAATATACTTTTCGTTACTAACAAAAGTAAAAAAATAAATGCATATTACATTAAAAATAGTATTATTTTGTTATCATGGAACAGATGGTTTGATTGAATGTAATTTTTCAACATTTAGTGATGCCTATTCTAGAACCAAATTAAGCCTTAATTCACTCTTCCCTGACGCCTAAATTTAAGAGATTATACAGTAAACAAGCCATGCATGGCACAGTCCCCGTTAGTTATCAAATTTAAGATATATAGTTTTGTTTATAGTAATATAGCTGGAATATAACCATGTCAGAAATATGATTTTTTAAGATTAAAATGATTAACATTTGTATCTGATCGTCAAACAAGTACTTGTCCATATTGAGAGATATTGCTCTGGAACAGCATTCAAAATCAATCATTTTGAATACATGTATATATATAACATGATGTATAACGAATATATAAAATTTGAACATAATCGGTCAAAGCATTTAAGAGACATGGCTCGAGAAGCCCAGTCATTAAAACAAAATGGCTGTCAGTCAGCCATTTTGAATCCAATCTGAAAAATAAAATGACGTGCATCAGGAACCAGTAATGTCTAATGTATGTACCAAGTTTGACTGAAATCCATCCATAAATGCCAGAAATGCTTGATATTTGATGATTTTTTAGCACAAAAATGACCACCATTCGGCCATTTTGAATATGATCGTCGAACCGATATATCTGTTTATCTATGACATGATGTATAATGAATATTTAAAATTTGAACATAATCAGTCAAAACAAGTCAGAGATATGGCACGAGAACCACATTCATTAAAACAAAATGGCCGCCAGCCGGCGATTTTGAATCTTATCTGAAAAACAAAATTATTTCCATGAAGGGCCCATAATTTCTAATGTATATACAAAGTTTGAACAAAATCTATCTGTAAACAGCAGAGAAATGCTTGGTTTTTAGGATTTTTCAGCACAAAAATGGACGCCATTCGGCCATCTTAAATCAGATCGTACAATGTAAAACAAAATGTTGTGCATCAAGGTCCTATAATGTCCAACGTATATACAAGGTTTGAACAAAATCCATCTGTAAACAGCTGGGAAATGCTTGATTTTTAACATTTTTTAGCACAAAAATGGCCGCCATTCGACCATCTGGAATCAGATCGTAAAACAAAATGATGTGCATCAAGGTCCTATAATGTCTAATGTATATACCAAGTTTGAACAAAATCCATCTGTAAACAGCTGGGAAATGCTTGATTTTGATGATTTTTAGCACAAAAATGGCCGCCATTCGGCCATCTTGAATCAGATCGTGAAACAAATTGACGTGCATATGTATATGTATAATATCATGTGTGATGTATGTGTGAAGTTTTATTGTAATTGGTACAGGCTTTTCTAAGATATAGGTCCGGATGCACGCACAGACACACGGAGGTCAAAACATAAGTCCCCGTTTTCGGACTGCGTCCGAACGAGGACTAATAAAGGCAGAGCACTGATACACTATGAAGGGTGATGTATCCTTGAGTATGGATGTTTGTTTACTTACACTTAGTTTCTCCAGTGGTTTACCAAGAAATGCAGTCACATATGCCTGTAAATGGTCTTGATATTTTTGCTTGGCTTCTCTCTTTTCATTTTCCAGGTGTGTAATTTTCAGTCTAGACAAAGTGGCTTTTTAAATAAACATATTACTGAGATGTGATATTAGAAGCAGAAAAATTAGTTCACACACCAGAAATGAAGTGAACATTGTGGTAGCCATATCGAGCAATGCACAAAAGACAAAACATGTTAACCCACAATAAGGTAGTTTGCTTCTGGCTGTTGAGAACATGTCATATTAATTTCACCAAATAATATAAATAGTTCACAAAAATAATGTACACTGCAAATATCAAAGGAATAGGGTTGGTAATTCTCAAGAAGTAGTTGAAGTTACCTACATACCAACAATAAAAAAAATTGAGCTGGCAGTTTTTAAGAAGGAGTTGAAAATAAAATTTTTTACAAAGACCACAAAAATAATCACCAAAAATAAAAAATTGAAGTTATCATGAGGAAATGAATCAATCTGACAGAGGTCCACACAAGGTATCTATATACTAAGTATCAAAGCAATTGAGCTGAGAGTTTTCATGAAGACAAAAGTGCAATTTGTTGGCATATGTTAGACCGTCGGACAACATACATTCACCTATATAAACATATATACTGACCAATCTATTTCTTTCCATTATAATGGTAATTTCAATAAAAAGCCATTATTTGAAACAATAATGGCTTTTTATGCTGACTGTTCATTTTTCCAGAACTTTCTAGAATACATTACAAACTCCTAGGCTGAATTGATATTAATCAGACTGACACATACTGAATATGGCATCATTAAAACTGCAATGTCAAAGACAGAAAATTTAATTTTTAAAGCAAATACTTACCAAACATGTGATGGAAATTTTCTGTAAGAAAATAAAGATATTACAGGTATTGAAAGCACTGCAGTCTGTAAAATATACTGAATGGACTATAATGTATTACATACATGTACTATATATATATATATATATATATGCATTCTATATACTTACCAAACATAACTACATCTCTAGGTGTTTTTTGGTGTTCTATTGCAACCCTTTCTATGGTGTCATTCACAGCTTTTATCAGTTTACTGTAAGCTTTGTCCAAGTCTGCTCTTCTCTCTGAGCCTTTGAAAATGGTCTCAGCCTGATCAGCAAATTCCTAAAAAAAAGAAGAGGAATATGCATGTACATTATTTAAAGAGCAGTAGTCATCACGCTGTGCATGTGAAACATTTTAGTTTATTTTCCCACAATCCAATGCGCTTTTCTAAGGAAATCACAAGTATCCTGCTTTCACCTATAACAGATATCATAAATGAATCACTTCGCACTGGAAGTGTTCCTGAGAAAATGAAATGTGCGCTGATTAAACCTCTGCTCAAGAAAGCATCGTTGGATTCAAACATGCTGAAAAATTATCGACCGATTTCTAATTTGTCTTTCATATCTAAAGTCCTTGAACGTGTCGTTGCATCCAGAGTGAAACAACATTTAGAGAATTATTCATTGTATGAAGAGTTTCAATCAGCGTATCGGACCGCACATAGCACTGAAACGGCTCTTTTGCGGGTCGCCAACGATGTACTATGCAGTATTGATAATTCTAAGAATTCAGTTGCTCTCGTACTTTTGGATCTTTCAGCCGCTTTTGATACTGTGAATCACAGGATTCTCATCGATAGGTTGAGATCAAATTTTGGTTTAAATGGTCTCATCATCAAATGGTTTGAGTCGTATTTGAGTAACCGCATTCAAAAAGTGAAAATTGGAAATGTATTTTCTGATATGACGTCTATATTAGTAACCGGTGTTCCACAGGGCTCCGTCTTAGGGCCATTATTGTTCTCAATGTACATGCGTCCATTGGGCGAGTTATTGCGACGTCACGGCGTAAAATATCATTTTTACGCCGATGACACACAGATTTATTTATCGGTTTCTGAAGATGATCAAATTCGCGCCCGGGTGATACTTCAGACATGTATTCAAGATGTTAGCGATTGGAT